AGATATTATTAGAATTTTTGAAACTTTGTTTTGTAGTCTAATAGTAATATAATTTGTATTTAAGCACTGACAAGACTGTCAAAGAATAAAAATAAAAAATAAAAAAAATAAAAACAACAAAAAATGAAAAAAAGATATATTAAATAAAAAACTAAAATAAAAAAAATAAAGAAAAAAAATGAAATAAAAAAGAATAAATATAATCAGATATTTTTATATAATTAAAAAAAAATTGTTTAAGATTCATCTTGATATTCAGTATCTTCAAAAGGATTTTGTTGTGAGATGGTTTGTGTTGATGCGGTATCATTCAGATTATTATGTATTTGTATAGAAAGTTGTAAATCGTCAAGAAGTGTATTAGATAAATTTGAATATGTAGGTAAATGTATGGATATATAACTAGGTGTAGTTTTAACGGTAATAGTGGTACAGGTAGTAAATTTACTCTTTTTGGTAGGACATGATGAGGATGAGCCAGTTGATGGTTCTGATTGCAAATGCTTTTGTCTTGTCTAGCAAGAGCTAGTCTAACTTCGAATACTTCTTCTTTATCTAATGAATCATTACCATCAACTGGAGAAATAAATGCATTTGCGCGTGAATTTTATCCTAATTAAATAAAATTACATTAGTTGAATTTTTTTTTTTTTTAAAAACTTTGGCATATCTTGCCAGATATTTATTTTAGTAATTAATTTACATGTACAAATAATGCTAGCTAACTAACATATAGTAAGTAATAAACTCTAAGCCTGTCGACAAATAGCATATAAGAACTATTTCTAAATGACAGGTGTCTATACTTTAGAACTAACAATTACTGAAACACCTAACCCCACCTGGTTGCTTTACTAAGCCCTAGATAAGATAGCTATACCACTTTTGTTGTAAAACTGCACTGAGCCTCAATATTGAAACCTGGTGACTAACTTTTTGCTAGAATATATGTCTCACCTATGTATTTACCCAGACTTTGGTAACCTACCACTACAGCTTAACCTATGTACTTGGGGTCAAGACTAACCATTGGACCCTTGCCTAACTAGTACCAATTATGCTGCCATAACCAAGTTCGTATCTCAAGCCACTCCTAAGGGTGCTGTCGCAACCCAATTCAACAAGCCACAACCTTTCTAATTAGACCTGTTACCTACTTCCATTCTTGTATAGGTTCACAACAACCCTAGTACCCACATTTAGACTATTTTCTTATCTGAATTCTTTATCAGTCCCTCCCTTACTTCCAGCTGGCAACTCAGAAAGGTCAGTCTGCCTAGGCTTTAGATGCCTGAAGGACGCCCTCCTCTTGGTACATACTTTTAGAGCATATGTCCTTTTCTCTGGTGTGACAACCTGGCAATTTGGCTAGTGTGTCCTCTGTTATTAGAACCTGGTTGCTCGGTTCTTTGATTTTAGGCTCTGGTTCTCTTGTGATACTATCATAGATCACTGCTACTCCTAACTCAGAACTTCCCAAATAGGTTTTTGGTTATGCCAGTTCCTTGAATTTATTGTGCCATTGCTTCCATTACTAGATAATGTGACCAAAGTTACAGATTAGATCCAACTGATAAGCATAGCCGTTAACTGAATACAAGCCTAATTTTCAAAAATCGTCATCTATGGAATTTGAACTCTAGACCTGCCACTTGAAGAGGGTGATGACTAGACTACTACACTAAGTTGCCACACCTTTCATTAGTTAAATTATTTTAAAAAATTTAAATTAAATAAATATAATTAATTATATATTATTTACAATATTTCTCTCTAGTCTTTTTTTCATAACTATATCATCTATTACCAACTTACCATATTTTCTCCAAAATAAACTACCACCTAAAATAAGCTACCCCCTCACTTTTAAGCAAAAAACCAAGAATACTCTTTTACCCAAAAATAAGCTACTCCCCGAATCTTTTAAAAATTTTTAACAGTTATTATATATAAATGTCAAAATTGTACTAAGTAAATATATATTTTGACCTTAATAGAAGTTGTTCAGAATTAAAAATACACATATTTTAAAAGTTTCATACAATTTAAATGACTTTTTATTAGTAACATTTTTGCATTTTAAGTTCAAACTTTACATGCAAAATGTTACTAATACAAGTCACTCTCGTTATAGTGAACCTTCGATAAAGTGAAGATGGCTTATAGTGAAGAATTTTTTTAAAACAAGATCATTATTAATAAATCTTCGCCCTATATAGTGAAGCTAAATAGTAAACTCTCGATATAAGCTATAGTAAAGATTTAGTGAAGATTTTTGTAGATGGATATAATAAAATGTCTTGCGTTATAGCGAAGATTTGTCATGTGATAATTATAAGCCAATCAGATTAATAAATCATTTGTCTTACGTCGCTATGCATAATGATAAAATCATAATCAAAAAAACTTTTCGTTTGATTTCTGAACCTTGATTTCTGGAAAAAATAAGATGGTATAAAAAGTCGACTTTATAATTTTATGAATTTTTTTTTTTTATTTAAATTATGGCAATTTTTTCTTAAACAATAGCATTGAAACAAAAATAGATAAACAAAAACTTTCAGTGACGGATTTTTAAAGAAAAAAAAAATTTTATCTTTTTTTTTTTAAAGAAAAAACAATCGATTCTTTTTAATTACAAAAAGTGACATAATTAGCATAGTTTCGTTTTCATTAAATTGACTCTAATTAAAATACCAGTCCTTAATTTTTTACATATTAATTAAATTTGGCACTAAAAACATTATGTTTTTAAGACTCACAACTAAATTTTATTTTGGCAAATGAAGTCATGTCATTCCTTATTTTAGAAACATACTCCTTTTTTTTATAAATTTTTTTTTTTATTCATCTTATTCACTTATAACACTTGTAATGTAACAATGGAAAAGCCGATGAAAAAAAAGCAAAAACATAGTAGGGAAAAAAAAACTAACACAAGAAAAAGCCTTACCAGTGCACAAAAAACTAAAATATGCCATTTAAAGCAAAAGAGAGTCAGTCAGGTTAAAATAGCTGAACAGTTTGGTGTTGCCAAAGCAACAATTTCAGGTATTGTTCGTGAAAAAGAGAAGTGGTTAGTGCTTGATTTGAATTCAAATAATGCCTATGCAAAGTGACAAAGAACTGGAAAATTTCCTTTGTTGGAAGAAGCACTTGCACTTTGGATATCAAAAGCAAATACTGCACTGCAAACAGTTACAGGTGTAATAATTCAGTGTAAAGCAACACAACTTGCAGAAGGGCTTGAAGTGGCAGGTTTTAACGCCTCTGATGGGTGGCTCTCAAAATTCAAAAAACAGTATCATATAAAAGAGTACAAACGTTTAGGTAAAGATGCAAGTGCACCTCTTGAGGATCTTCCTAGATTTTGCAGTAAGCTGCAAGAAATAATCAAAAAATATAAGCCTGAAGATGTTTACAATGCAGATGAAACTGTATTATACTGGCGCATGGAACCAGATAAAACATTGGCTGATGGCCCAGTTTCAGGAAAAAAAAAGCTAAAGATCGTGTTACTGTCTTACTTACATGTAATGCAACTGGTAATCACAAACTTCCTCCCCTGTTTATATATAAATATCAAACTCCTCAGGCTCTTTAAAAACTTCAATAAATTCTCCTTATCTGTATATTATTACTAGAATTGTTCTTCCTGGATGCAATTATTAATTTTTAGCCACTATATTAAACAGCTAGATAAACAAATGCGACTTGCTCACCGTTTAATTCTTCTTATAGTAGATGGTGCATCAACTCATGCACTTGAAGTAGGCTTTACTCCAACAAATATTAAACTGCATTTTTTTCCTTCATACACAATAGCGCATCTTCAACTATGTGATGCGGGAATAATTTGGAGTTTTAAGGTGAACTAATTTATCATAAACTCTCAAAATAGTGAGCATGGTCTTATTTTAAATTTCAGATTGAAATTCAAAATAATGCCTATGCTTGCTATTTTGAGAATTATTGTGTTTTTTTTTTTATTTTTATAATAATCAATAATATTTATACAACAAAGTTTATAACAAGTTTTATTAAATTAAAACTATGGTATTATTATGTGGTTATTTATTTTTTTATTATATAATGTTAAATTTATAATAATCAAATAATTATGTATTAATATTTTAAATATTTTATACAAAAAAATTATTAAAAAACTTTTAAAAAAATTATTTTATCTTCCATAGCCGCATTATAAAAAATTTTTTTGTGAAGATTGCATAGAAGCTTTTGACTTTTTTTTAAAATCTGGTGATCCTCCTGAAGAAATAACTATCAAAGATGTGATTAATTTTACTGCTGCTGCATAGAAAAAAGTAACTTCAAGTAAGAGTTAGAATTAGTTTTAGTTGACTACTATGTTTAGTTGATTAATTAATTGACTAAACATAGTAGTTATATTAATTTTTTTAGCTAATTAAACTAATTTTTTAACTTTAGAAACAATCCGTAGCTGTTGGAGGAAGACTGGCATTTTGCCAGAGGATTTTCTTAGTGAATTATTTCTGGATGAAGAGCTTGACCATGCCAATGAACCTGACATTACTAATGATATTCAGGATTTGATTATGCAATTACCCTTTAATCAGCCCATGGATGCACAAAAATATTTGATTGCTGACAATGATCTAATCACTACTGAAATGCCAACTGATGAAGAGATAATTGAAGCTGTCAAGAATCTTGATTGTTTCAAGCCAGAAGAAGAGGACCCACATAGACTAATATCTCTTGCAGAAGCCTTAAAATTTATCAGTGGGATTCTAACTTTTCTTGAGCAACAGCCAGATAGCAGTTTTAAAGCTGATAGTTCTTTTGTTCGAAATTTAAGAAAATTAAAAAAGAAGTAAATTTGAAACATGTTGATTCTAAACATCAAGCTACTTTGGATACATTTATTTGTGATACAAATTAGATTAAACCGGGTGGCTTTTTTTTTTAATTTTTTTTTTTTCTTTAAAAAAATTTTTTTTAACTTTTGAATTAAAGCAAGGTTAGAAGATTATAAGAGCAAGTACAGAAGTAACAAACTGATCAAACGAAGCTAATTAGATTTTCAATTTAAGTGTATTAAATATAGTAACTTGGAATTGGGTTAATCAACTTTAGAAAATTTAGAGGAATGTATTTGTTTTTTTTTTTTACACAATGTGCAATCAAATTTATACAAAGTTTTTTTTTTTCACAATTTATTATTTTAAAATATCAACTTGGTTTTAATATTTTAGATAAATTTTACAAATAAAATTGTGAAATTTCAGTTTCTGGGTGCTTATTTTTATACAATATAAGGTAGACAGGGGTAATTTGGCGAAGTTAACATTGCTATTGGGTAAACTTTTTTTTAACCCATGCAAATTT